GTAGCTCCAGCTCTATAGACTGCATATTATAAAAGCTACAGCTCTGCTTGAATTACATAATACCAGTAGCTCAGCTATAGACTGCATATTATAAAAAAGCTCCAGCTCGGTAGATTACATACTACAGTGCTCAGCTCTATAAGACTGCATATTATAAAAGCTCAGCTCTGTAGATTACATAATACAGTAGCTCCAGCTCTGTAGACTTCATCAGCTTATAGAAGCTCCAGCTCTGTAGATTACATAATACAGTGGCTCCAGCTCTATAGACTGCATATTATAAAGCTCGCTCTGTAGATTACATAATACAATAGCTCAGCTCTCTGAACTGCATATTCTCACTCCAACTCTGGAATTACATAATATGCAGTGGCTCACGGCTCTGGGCTGCATATTATAAAAGCTCAGCTCTGCAGATTACACACATAATACAGTAGCTCAGCTCCTAGACTGCATATTATAAAAGCTCAGCTCTGTAGATTACATAATACAGAGCGCTCCAGCTCTATAGACTGCATATTATAATAAAAGCTCAGCTCTGTAGATTACATAATACAGCTCGCTCAGTGAGCTGCATATTATAAAAGCTCCAGCTCTGTAGATTACATAATACAGTAGCTCAGCTCTATAGACTGCATATAAAAGCTCCAGCTCTGTAGATTACATATTACAGTAGCTCCAGCTATAGACTGCATATTACTTAAGCTCAGCTCTTGAATTACATAATACAGTAGCTCCAGCTCTATAGACTGCATATTCGCTCCAGCTCAGCCCAGAATTACATAATACCAGTAGCTCAGCTCTATAGACTGCATATTAAGCTCCAGCTCTGTGAATTACATAATACAGTGGCTCCAGCTCTATAGACTGTAATATGAAGCTCCAGCTCTGTAGATTACATAACTTCACAATGGCTCAGCTCAGTAGACTGCATATTATACGAAGCTCCAGCTCTGAATTACACTCAGCTTGCAGTAGCTCAGCTCTATAGACTGCATATTATAAGCTCCAGCTCTGTAGATTACATAATACAGTGGCTCCAGCTCAGTAGACTGCATATTATAGAAGCTCCAGCTCTGTAGATTACATATGCAGTAGCTCAGCTCAGTAGACTGCATAATATAGAAAGCTCCAGCTCTGCAGATTACATAATACAGTAGCTCCAGCTCTATAGACTGCATATTATAGAAGCTCCAGCTCTGTAAGATTACATAGCACAGTGGCTCCAGCTCTGTAGACTGCATATTATAAGCTCAGCTCTGTAGATTACATAATACAGTAGCTCCAACTCAGTAGACTGCATATTATAGAAGCTCCAGCTGTGTGATTACATAATACAGTAGCTCAGCTCTGTAGACTGCATATTATAAACAGCTCTGTGAATTACATAATACAGTAGCTCAGCTCTGTAGACTGCATATTGCTCATCAGCTCTGTAGATTACATAATACAGTAGCTCCAACTCAGTAGACTGCATATTATAGAAGCAGCTCTGTAGATTACATAATACAGTAGCTCCAGCTCTATAGACTGCATATTATAAAAAGCTCCAGCTACAGCAGATTACATAATACAGTAGCTCCAGCTCAGTGAACTGCATATTATAGGCTCAGCTCTGTAGATTACATAATACAGTAGCTCCAACTCAGTAGACTGCATACCTCGGCTCCAGCGCCACATAATACAGTAGCTCCAGCTCTATAGACTGCATACTATAAACTCCAGCTCTGTAGATTACACATAATACAGTAGCTCAGCTCTATAGACTGCATATTATAGAAGCTCCAGCTCTGTAGATTACATAATACAGTAGCTCCAGCTCAGTGACTGCACATATTATAGAGCTCCAGCTCTGTAGATTACATAATACAGTAGCTCAGCTCAGTAGACTGCATATAAGCTCAGCTCTGTGCATTACATACTCTGTTAGCTCCAGCTCAGTAGACTGCATACTATAAAGCTCAGCTCTGTAGATTACATAGCCACCCAGTAGCTCCAACTCAGTAGACTGCATATTATAAAGCTCCAGCTCTGTGGAGTGCATAATACAGTAGCTCCAGCTCTATAGACTGCATATTATAGCTTGGCTCTGTAGATTACATAATACAGTAGCTCCAGCTCTATAGACTGCATATTATAAAAGCTCCAGCTCTGTAGATTACATAATACAGTAGCTCCAGCTCTATAGACTGCATATTATAAAAGCTCCAGCTCGGTAGATTACATACTACAGTAGCTCCAGCTCTATAGACTGCATATTATAAAAGCTCCAGCTCTGTAGATTACATACTACAGTAGCTCCAGCTCTGTAGATTACATAATACAGTAGCTCCAGCTCTGTAGACTGCATATTATAAAAGCTCCAGCTCTGTAGATTACATACTACAGTAGCTCCAGCTCTGTAGATTACATAATACAGTAGCTCCAGCTCTGTAGACTGCATACTATAAAAGCTACAGCTCTGTACATTACATACTACAGTAGCTCCCAAATAACAATGTCAGCATCTATTTGGAGTATTTTCAATCATCTTCTGGTGTTGTCTGGTGGTGGTGATGATGTAGCCTCTGTCACCTGGTGGTAGTGGTGATGCCTCAGTCACCTGGTGGTGGTGGTGATGATGATGATGCCTCAGTTATCTGATGGTGGTGGTGGTGATGCATCAGTCACCTGATGGTGGTGGTGGTGATGCCTCAGTAACCTGATGGGGGTGGTGCCTCAGTCACCTGGCGGTGGTGCCTCAGTCATCTGGTGGTGATGGTGGTGGTGGTGGTGATGCCTCAGTCACCTGGTGGTGGTGCCTCAGTCATCTGGTGGTGGTGTTGCCTCAGTCATCTGGTGGTGGTGGTGCCTCAGTCACATGATGGTGGTGGTGGTGCCTCAGTCATCTGGTGGTGGTGATGGTGCCTCAGTCACCTGATGGTGGTGGTGGTGGTGGTTCAGTCACCTGATGGTGGTGGTGGTGGTGGTTCAGTCACCTGATGGTGATGCCTCAGTCACCTGGTGGTAGTGGTGCCTCAGTTATCTGATAGTGGTGGTGCCCAGTCACCTGGATGGTGGTGGTGGTGCCTGAGTCACCTGATGGTGGTGGTGGTGGTGGCCTGAGTCACCTGATGGTGGTGGTGGTGGTGGTTCAGTCACCTGATGGTGGTGGTGGTGGTGGTCAGCTGGTGGTGGTGGTGCCTCAGTCACCTGATGGTGGTGGTGGTGCCTCAGTCACCTGATGGTGGTGGTGGTGGTGGTTCAGTCACCTGATGGTGGTGGTGGTGGTGGTTCAGTCACCTGATGGTGGTGGTGGTGCCTCAGTCACCTGGTGGTGGTGGTGGTGGTGGTGCCTCAGTCACCTGATGGTGGTGGTGGTGCCTCAGTCACCTGGTGGTGGTGTCTCACAGTCACCTGATGGTAGTGCCTCGGTCATCTGATGGTGGTGGTGGTGCCTCGGTCATCTGATGGTGGCGGTGCTTCAGTCATCTGATGGTATATTCGAAATATTCAAATTACCCGAAAATGTATAATTAATCATATTAGTAGTAGGTACAGGTAGTAAGCAGCTACCAAACAGGGAGGTACTACCGCCTGGGAAGATATTGGAAGCATAATGTGTTGCTTAATGGTAGACACTGCTGCCATATGGCATCACGAAAATTGTGACCAAATCCCAGGTTGCTGATCTGACTTTCTGCCTTATTTACACTCAATTGCAGGGCTCTATTGTTTCTCTTACTTGGACAACACAACATATATAATGTATATAATTTCTCACTCTTGATTTTTTTTTTAATTTTGTATTTTTTTATGGTTATTATTTTTATTAGTTTTATTGTTTTATTTTTATTAATTTGCTATTAATTTTATTAATTGTTGTAATAATAATAATAATAATAGATATTATTATTATTATTATTATTATTATTATTATTATTATTATTATTATTATTATTATTATTATTATTATTATATTTTCGCCCCCCAGGCCCTGATGTGGGTCATTACCTGTGTCCGGGTGGGCTAATGCCCGTAAAAAAAAAAAAAATCAGTAATAGAATATCTTACAGGAGAAATAGTGAAAGTTTTCTGATAAATTTAACAAGCATTACATTGAACTTGGACTACAGTAACTGAGGTTGGCAGATCACTTCAACACTATAATATTTTGTGGTTAATACAGAAACAGCTTCATCTGTTATGTATTTTTTACTTTTAGCTATGAATTGTTTTATACTATTACTGGTTTTGATGTAGTTTGGTAACTTGTTTCAGTCTTTTATAGCTGTGAGGAAGAAAGTTTTTTTGCTTGACTGCCAACACCAGGTACAGTACAGTACTGTATACCACAAGATTATGTTCCTTCCCTCTAGTGCCCTGCCGGTTCATAACCCTAATTGGTGTTAAATAGTCTGGCTACAGTCTGTTGAATATCCTATAAGAGTTATTCAGACTCAGTTGCTTCACTCTATCTGTCACACTTAACATTTTCAGTGATTGTAAGACTCTCAGACCAATGTGATGTCTTGCATTCATGTCAAGAGTAAACCTCGCTGCCTTGTTTTAAATAATTTTTAATTTGGCTTTTAGCTTCGTGTTAAGGCAGTGTAATGATGATCAGGAATAGTCAATTCAATTTCAATTTCAATTGTTTATTCCTTGATAGAGGGAGCGGGATCCTAGTGCTGTCACTAGGTACCCCTGTACAATGACACCAGAATCATCTGGCAAGTGTGAAAAGTATATACAGTATAAATATTATAAAGGGGCTTACTAAAGCCTAAGGAAGGAAGGATATTCCTTTAACACATAATCAATATTATTTACAAAATATCTGGCCAGTATTGGGAGGATCATCGTGTCTCCGTCATGGGGTCGTGGGGTGGTGGTTCAGCAAGCGTCACGGAAGCGTTGTGTGTGGGGACATCTTAGGAGGTAGTGAATAAGGGTGCGGCTGTCGGGTCTTCTGCATAACGCACAAGAGCGTTGCTCAGGGGATGCGGGGATACCAATCTCCCAAGCAAAGTCATACCCAATGATGATACGGGCAGCAATCACGTCCCCCTTCCGCGACCTTTGTATGAGTGCCAAGCAAAGGTTGTTATGGGATTCAGCTGAGACATATGGCATTTCTATAAACAAACTGTTTATCCTAACATTAGTTAAACTTATTATATTATCTACAATTTATTCTCCAGATGAAGAAAGTCAAGAGTTAGTCCAAGGTATTTCACTGAGTTTACAGTTGAGATGGGTTCATTCCCACATTGCAGTAAAACTCCCCAAAGTCGGACTCAGTCTGAATTACTGGTGCACATGCAGAGTTGTAACTGGCCACGAGGCGCAACACCAGTCTCTCTCCAACTGCCAGATAATGTGATGGCATCCAGCCAGTGCTGGATTTAGGCACAAGGTAAGTAAGCTACAGCTTAGGGCCTCACATTATGAGGGCCCTCTAAGTATGTTTGAGATACATTAAGTAAAAAGATTTGTTATGAATCAAATTGCCCTGGCTTAAATAACTTATTTCATTTGCAAGTCAGAAAATTCAGTATAATAATGTTTATAATTTTAAAGTATAATTTGGGAACCTTATTAATTAGTTTTTCAATTCACTCATTCACTGACTCATGTTAGCTGTGTGACAGTTGATTGGTGCCTAGATGCAGTAAATTTTGTTGTTGTTGTATAACAAATACTGTCCTGTATATACTTTCTTCTCAGCCTCTACAAAACCCTGGGCAGTGCTCAAATTATTCTTAAATCCTGACTCTACAGTATCAAAACATCTTCTGACACTAAACTAGGTGGGAGGCACATGCAAAGGCTACTTCATCCATAGGCCCATAGGCGAGTTATACAGTAATTCAATTATGTACTGTACTGTAATGATGCTTTTACTCATGTCCATTCTAATGTACTAATGACAGTGAAGAGGGTGAAACAAGAAGAAAGCTGATATTCTTCTTGAGAAAACTGAGGAACTGGAATGTGTGTTCATGTTCATTGGTTAGATCATTTCCACAAACCAACAAGACCCTACAGGATCCACAGATTGGCCTTAGCACATGTACAAAGCTTTACACATTGCTCACTAATTTCTTGAAATAAATCCTAGAATGTTTTGATGAAATTGGACTCAAAGCAAAAGAAGACCTGCCTGATGTAGACTACAAGTGTGTGAATAAAAGTGAGTGAGAAAAAACAAGTCAGTGATGGCGATGCAACAAATGATGATGACAGGCTTCCTCCAAGAGACAAATTTTTTGTAAAATCCTTTATTCCCATGATGGATGCCCTTGAAATCAGTGTGAAAAAAAAGTCATATACTCTACAATAATGTTGTAAAAAGATAGAAATTTTTAGTTGATTTAGAAGAACAGTTGTGTGACAGTGTAAAGTTTCTGATGAAAGACTATCCTGATGTTGTTGATGTTAACCTTGTTGGGGAAGTAAAGCACTTTATGTTTATACCAAGAAAAAATATTCTAATAAAGGATATTTATGCCACTAGGACCTCTATCAGTCATCTTCAAAGATAAGATTCATTTGGCTTTCTCTAATGTAAACGCAATATTGTGGCTACTTTTCAGTCTAATAGTAACAAACTGCTCAGGAGAAAGGTAAATTCTGTAGCTGAAAAGGATTAAGAATGAACTTTGGACATCAATGCTGTGATAAAAGTTCTCTGCATTAAACATTATGTGAATATAAAGTGAAAAATTTGTAGCTTATCATTGGACGACTTCATCCATGACTTAGCTTTTGGGAAACTACGAAAGAAATTTTTTAAATTTTATGTGATGTTCAAACAGAAGAGACAGCGCCAGTTGCATTACTGCTTCCATTTACTGAGGGTGAAACTGTTTAATTTCTTTATATCAGTGGTTCCCAACCTTTTTTGGCTGCGACCCTAAATTTCCCAACAATACGGTGTCGTGACCCTCAGGAATATAATATACAGATATAGCTTGAATGATAAGCAAAAATTTGTTTGACTTTATGATAAGTATTATATTTTTTTAAATTGTCTGAGGGCCCCTCGCGACCCTACTGAGGACACCCCGCGACCCTGATTTGGGTCGCGATCTGAGGTACAGGGGGTGATAGTTATACAAGTATATTGTAATTAACCCACATTTATATAAATACTATTGCCTATAAGACTGGGGCTAATACAAGGGTTGATCTGTGCAGTGTTTTATGTTAAAGTCTTCAATTTCATATTTGATAATTAGGAAATCATAAAGTATTTTATAATGCAAATAAGGCTTTTTCTAAGATGTATATGCTATTTCGATTATAAGTTGTTCATTGCATTTTTGCCAATGTATACTGTACAGTATATGTAAATACATATTTAAAAAAACAAAACAATTATTGACTTTTATGTTAAAATGAAATACACCCTTTCTCACTATTATATACTTAATGGTTTTTTTATGGTATGGATCCTCTAAATCTTGACATAGCTTAGGGCTTCAGCATGTCTTAATACAGCCCTCCATCTAACACTGATTGCAGTGATTATATAGTTACTACAGTACAGTACAGTACAGTACAGTATAATACAATACAATACAGTACAGTACAGTAAATTTAAGTTTAGTGTTATTAAGTTTGGTGTAATACTGCACAGTACTGTACATATTTCTACTTTAATGTTAAGTATGTCAGACTAGCCAAAGTGCAGTGCCTCTCTCCACCCACCAAGGCTCCAGCAATCACATAGGAAAGTAAGTGTCCTGGAGTGTTCAGTTGTTATTATGCTTTTAAAGGGTAATATCAAATGAAGAATAATTTTTAAAAGGTACTGGATACAGGGAAGTGTACAGATGAGGTGTATGTGTGTGTGTGTGTAAGATAGGTGTAAATATGGAGGAGAAAGTCGAGATGTCTCATAAATGTGTTAAAGAAGAGGTACTGCATGATCCAACCTTCTGGATAACATGTAAAACACACTAGTGAACATACTGGCATGCTATATGTTTTACCTTAATAAGAGATGAGTTTATCTTGGGCCACTGCAGGATGAGTGAAGGATAGGGTGAAATTTGACAGTTTCTCTAATGCATCTTTGTTGGTCGGTCCATTCAGTGTACTACCCCAACCTCGCCTTCCTCTGTCACAATAAAAAGTGAGTTAGTAAAATACTGTACAGGCATCCCTCAAGGTACAAAAGCTTGAGTAATGGAAATTCACATTAAAGGAACTAAAAAAAAATATGGAATAATCTTTAAGATACAGAGGAATAACTTCCATTGGTTAATGGGACACTGCACAGTAGAAGTACTGGTATTAGTTTGCTTAGATCCCATGAAGAATCTGCACCTCAACTTATTACTCCTAAAGATTAACCACCTTAATGCTATTTGTGAGGATGAGGTTAGGTTAGGTGATCCCACTATTACAAGATGAGGTAAACTTGCTGTGTGGTGGGGGGGAGGGGGGGGACCCTTTCAGTCTTATACAAGTACTGTACTGTGTTTTCCTTTTAACTTGTATACCTGTTAAAAGTTTTATAAGGTAAGTTTAAAATTTAAAGACAAACATGTATTGTGCACAGCAAAGTTAGCCACAGATCTGTAGTGTGCAGTTAAGGGTCCAATAATTTGGGGTGCATGTTTTAGGGCTGCAATCCCATACTGTACCTTAAATTTCCCATTGAAAGACATAGAATGATTTAACATGATTCAACACCACCCACACCTGCTGTGCTGTGAGTGAAGTGGAAGAATTAAACATTAAACTTTGCGATGACTATCACAGATTCATATCTTTCTTAATGGCATTTTTTTTTAAGAAAAAGTAATACTGTACGAGTATTATAACTAATTAAGATGAAATATTTTCAAATATTATTGGTAAAGGTGGATGAGACAGTTATCCCCATAAGTAACTTATGGATCTGAACCAAAATTCCTGGAGATACTTTTTGCATGACACTGAAAAGGGAAATGGATGCAAGAATATACAGAACCTATTAGAACCTGACCTAACCTTATCTAACACCCTAACCTGTGGACACTTTCAGCAGACACCAAAAATAAGTTGAAGGACTTTTAAAAGTGGTGTCATAGGAGAATGCTAAGAAAAGGCTCCACTGAGAGAAAAACAAATGAAGAAGTACTAAGAGTAGCAAGAACTTCAAGAGAAATACTTGAAATGTACAGAAAAAGAAATATGAGAAACCTGTACTTGATCATATAATTATGGATGGGGGAATAATAACAAATATTAATGAGCAAAGTTGAGGATAGGAGGACCAAGGGGGCCAGGGGAAGGCAGAGACTGGGATGGATGAAATAAATTAATAACTGGGTTCCCAGAGAGATACATAACCTCAGAGGATTGGTAAAAACAGCCCAAGAATGTTAAGAGTGGAGGAGTCCTCCCCTCTAAACATTCTTGGGCTGTAGTCGCCAACCCACAGATATGAGGAGATTACTCTGTATAATTGATCTTTAAATTCTGTCACAAATGCATTTGAAAATGTATAATTACAAACACAAGCAATTGTTCAAGCACGATATCAATTACCATGGAAGGAAAATGCAGGGGTTAAAACGGTATTTGTTCCTGTATTAGCACCGAGTGACAGTCCTGTAACTACTGTAAAACCTAAAGTTACCATAAATGTGTATGGATATGTGCTTTCAATTGACTGATTAAATTGCAGTTTAAGACACCATGACACTTTAAGAAAGTTGCTTTTATTGGTACCAGATATCAAAGTAAGTACTTTCTGCTTAATATGGCAAGAAGTTTGGGGAACAGAGCCTCCCCAGCTCGGAAGTTAGGTAAGGTTTGGTAGGTTTCTTTGGTTGGTTAGGTCAGGTTCTAGTAGGTTCTAGTAAATATCGTCTCTTTTAAAATACTTACTATAATAATAAGAACAACTGTGGAAAAATTAATGAAATCAAGCAACTCCTTCTGGTGGTAGTGCTGTTCTCAGAAATTACCCAATTATTTTCATCTTCATAATCTCCTAACACAGGCTGACAATACATGACTTTTTTTTTTTACTGTTTTTACTGTTATCCTCTTCGCCACTGATCCACTTGTTCGCCGTTCAGGTGGTCGGTCACGTCTCTGTTACGCACTGTTGGCAAATACTGTACTGGACATGCACCGGCTCCTTAATATATCCGAACCTGCTCTAGTGCAGGTCAAGTCTGGTCTTGAAAGACCTCACATTTGGTGCTGTCACAACACTCTTTGGCAAGATGTTCCAAGAGTTCCCAACTTTCATTCTGAAAAGGTTTGCCTTTACAGTTTTCTGGACTTATGGCTTCTTCAACCTTGAGCTGCAACCCCTTGTGGGGTGAGCGTCTGTCAGCTCCAGGTATGGACACTCGACTGAGTAGTGCCCTTTGAGATATTTATACACCTCAATTAGGTCCCCCCTTGCCCGTCTGTAGTATAAGCTAGGCCATTGCAGGTGCTCTAATCTTTCTGGGTAGCATATCTCGGGGACCAGATGGGGTGACAGTACTCCAGGCGGGGAAGAACCTCACTCTTGAAAATCGTCATGAGGGACGGACCAATTACATATCTGAACGACCATCTTATAAGACCTGATAATTTAGTTGCTTCATTCACCATCTTGCAATGGCCCGAGAATTCAATTCATTGTCAACATACACACCCAGGTCCTTTTCACATTCAGTAACAATTAATGCAGTTTCTTCATCCTGTTGGGACATATGATATGCCTCCTTACCATTGGTAAGTCCCAGGTGCATCCTTTTGCACTTTGTGACATTGAATCTTAACAGCCATTTCCTCAACTATTCTTGAAGCTCACAGAGAAACTTTCTGCAGCCCTTCACAGTTTGTTTGGTTCTTAATTTCCCCAAATAACTTGGCATCGTCCACAAATATTTGCATGGAGGAGTGTATAGCTTCTGGCATGTTATTTATAAAACAAACAAACAACAATGGGGCCAATACCCTGTCCTGTGGTAACCCACTTGTCACCACACACTGCTTGCGATCATGGAAAAAGTCTCCAATCCATGCTAGGACACTTCCCCGAATCCCATACCCTTCCAGTTTAATTTCCAGCCTTTCATGGGGTACGCTGCCGAAAGCCTTGGCAAAATCTAGGTATATATTGTCGATATTGCCATTAATTTCGCATTAACAATTTCCTTAAGTCAAAATTTCAGTACTTGTATATTAGTACAGTATTTATAACTTAGTTTATTTCAGGGGTAAATATATTACAGTCTCTCCTCGACTTACGATATATTCGACTTACGACAACCCAGACATACGACGGCCATGGTCGTATAAACTATTTTTCACATTACATATTTTCGAGTCCCAGCGTTAGTGATCAATCTGTGTACTGACAAAATTTTCGTTTGTAATCCCTTTTAAAATGGCTGGCAAGCATAAAAGTGAGAGTTCTCGTGGTGCTGAGAAGAAAAAGAGACACCCATTTTAAAATTTCTACGTATTATTTTCGCCTTTTCGACTTACGACCTGGTCATCGGGAAGGAACCCTGTTGCAAGTCGAAGAGAGACTGTAAAGGCAAAAATACCCATAATAGAACTTGCTCCCGTAATTATTCAGATCATGACCGTCCGCTGTTTTTCATTGAAACTAGGTTTAAAAATACCCAATTTGGTCAAATTTCACTTAAGCACCGGTCTTTGTTTGGATATTAAAAATTATACTTTTCCGATGTTATTTGATGAATTTCAAACGAATTTGATGTTCATTTCAGCAGGAAATCAATAGTTGTTGTGATACCACCCCCCCCTCCCCCCACCCATCAATCTTAACAAAAAGGTTTATTTTTTCGAGTAAATCACATAGATAAAATACCAACCAACCAACAAAACTAAACCTGACCTGACCTGACCTAACACTATTTTACTGATGAAAATCTGCAATTGACATAAAATAATCTCTTATCACAATGTCGGCACAGCTCTTTCCGCCTGTTCAACCATATCTGGTTATTCTGGTACTGAGAAACCACGTGCCCTGTATTGTTCATTGGCTAAGACTATAAACTCTTGCCCAATTATAAGTCTCCTATCACTATAGCCAATAAGGAACTCCTACACCACCACCTGTACATACGCTTAAGAAGCCAACACGGAGGTAAGGAGCACTGCTTGATGGGTGGTCAGACCTTCTCTGTGAGACATAAACAACAAATGGCGACACTTGTGACTGACCAAATCTAATAATATTGACAAATTATCCTTAATTTCCGGCGGGAATATCACAGAAGAAAGGAGTCTTAGAATTGTCTAAACATTACAAAAACATATTAATAACAGTGAGAGAAAGACTGGTGCAAGACTGAAACTTCCCCCCCAATTTTCACTGATTATATTAGGGAATACTATATTATGTTGGGGAAAAAATATTAAAATGGGTGAAATCATGTGCTAACCTAAGAAAACCTGACCTAACCTAACCTATATCTGAACTCGCCTACATCTAGAAAACTAAGCATTTGCACATAAAATTTAATAGAAGGAAAAGCATATAATCAGTGAACAAAACTGTGGTATAACTGCAGTTTTGGACAATATGGATCTAGAGTTAAGGAATGTGTTTTTCCGATTGTTTTGATAATTTTAAGACAATTCTTTACTAACGTATCCCCCGCAAATTACTTAAATATACCGGAATCATCATAGAAAAAATGTCTTAAAATTGCTTAAACAATCGGAAAAACACATTCCTTAACTACTAGGGGTATTGTCCAAAACTCTCTTAATAAACTCATAATCACTAAACCACTGACAGTAACCAGCCATATATTTGCCTTTGCTGCTTTATTAATTTAAAAAAAAAATAGTTACTAGAATTAAGATAAGCACATACCTGCACCTGCTGTTCCCCACACACAGGTAACGTGGTGCTGTAGTTACTTGTTTGTTTACTAATATTCTGGTTTCTGAGCGTGAGCAGTTCCTTTACCTTTATCGCATTTTACCTTCTATTAATAAGAATAAAAACGTGATTTAATGGACTATATATTATGCTAGACTATTTATAATAATATATAATTTATTTAACATTGTCATACTGTCAAATATAAGTATATATATACAGCTGTGTTAAAAAAGTTTATGCATCCGGAAACATCTTTCTTTATCTATTCTCGAACTCGGGCTCGAACCCAGGAGGTACTGTAGAGTGACACGCACACTATTGGCTACTGTTTACCAATTAAAATGTTATTTTAGGAATAATATAATGCTGAATTATGTCTAACGACCTCAAAAATTATTAAATTGGTCTTGAAAATCGTTTCAGAATCAGTAATAGAACAATCAGCTGTTACTGCACAAATTCTTGATATAATTCCAACAAATATTGTTTTATCTAAAACCCTCAGCCACGACACATTCTTATCTTATTCTCTTCGAGCTTTACAGCAAGGGAAGTGGAAGGCAGTAGAGAGAATTGCTGTTTATATTGTCAAAAGTGAAAGGAATCAATAAAGGAGATATAGATAAAATTCTTAAAATATTCGAGCAGGATAGGACTCGTAGGAACGGATTTAAGTTGGATAAGTTTAGGTTTAGGAGGGAGATAGGAAGGAACTGGTTCACAAATAGGGTGGTGGACGAGTGGAACAAGCTTAGCAACTTTGTAGTAAGTGCTGGAAAGCTGGAAAGTTTTAAAAGGAGGCTAGATAGATTCATGGATGATAGAGAGTGGTAGTAACTCTCGACAGGAGCTGCCATGCACAGGCCAACCAGCTTATTGCAGACTCCTTATTTTCTTATGTTCTTATGATCTAGTAGAAAAAGTAGCCATGATGTTTGTCCCCCACAGACTGCCAGCCTGAAGCCTGAGGATAAGAAAATTTATGGTAGAATCTTACCATTAAATCTGACAAACGCTCACCTCACACACACCCCCTCCCCCAAAACTCATCGACGGTAACAGCTGTCAGACGTTCAGAAAAAAAGGTTGTGACCAGACATGCATAGGTGTAGTAAATCATGGCTACACCCTCAAAGTCACGGAGAGGGGGGGGTTTGTTGGTGTGTACTTACTGTGAGGAGACGTCTTACAAGGATTGTGTGAGTGTGGACAACTTCAGACCGCTGCATAATGCGTTGAAGTGTAGAGGATCAGTTCAACACTCGGGACTTCCCCTTGTTGGAAAGGAGTGCTTGAACACACGCAACTACGACCTACCGCAATTTTCACCACGACCAACATCTACTTCCACTACTACCACCACTACGACCACGATCTACTACCACAACCAGTCCGACCACGACCTACCACCACGACCAAGACCACGACCACATTACTAGCACCATCAAAACCTACCACTATCACGATCAGTATACGACCACCTACCACTACCACCACCATGACCAGCACAGTTACTTTAACGGGCAATATTCAATAGATTTGGCACCTTGTGTACTGTCGTCTTGCCAGTGATGCCCACCGTTTCTGTGTAGATTTCGGGCACTCTAGAATAACCCGTTATAGCAGTTCCTTGTTTCCTCACAGCCCCGTTGTGGGTCAGTGACTTGTGGAATATTCCCTATAAAAATGCGGATAAAAGAACGTACCTAACTTGTGAACTCAAGCTAAAACGCAAATAACGTCCAAAATGACATCATGGTACATCGGTAGAAATGATAATGACTCTTAGAGGGTGAAAGGGTTAAAACCTTCGTCTTCAAGGAGTTGAATCATCGTCTTCAAGGAGTTAAACCTTCGTCTTCAAGGGGCTAATCCTTCGTCGTCAGGGAGTTAAACCATCGTCTTCAAGGGGCTAAATATTCGTCTTCAAGGAGTTAAACCATCGTCTTCAAGGAGTTAAACCTTCATCTTCAAGGGGTTAAACCTTCGTCGTCAAGGAGTTAAACCATCGTCCCCAATGAGTTAAACCTTCGTCTTCAAGGAGTTGAATCATCGTCTTCAAGGAGTTAAACCATCGTCCCCAATGAGTTAAACCATCGTCTTCAAGGGGCTAATCCTTCGTCGTCAGGGAGTTAAACCATCGTCTTCAAGGGGCTAAATATTCGTCTTCAAGGAGTTAAACCATCGTCTTCAAGGAGTTAAACCTTCATCTTCAAGGGGTTAAACCTTCGTCGTCAAGGAGTTAAACCATCGTCCCCAATGAGTTAAACCATCGTCTTCAAGGGGTTAAATCTTCGTCGTCTTCAAGGAGTTAAACCATCGTCTTCAAGGAGTTAAACCATCGTCCCCAATGAGTTAAACCATCGTCTTCAAGGGGTTAAATCTTCGTTTTCAAGGAGTTAAACCATCGTCTTCAAGGAGTTAAACCATCGTCCCCAATGAGTTAAACCATCGTCTTCAAGGGGTTAAATCTTCGTTTTTAAGGAGTTAAACCATCGTCTTCAAGGAGTTGAATCACCGTCCCAAATGAGTTAAACCATCGTCTTCAAGGGGTTAAATCTTCGTTTTCAAGGAGTTAAACCATCGTCTTCAAGGAGTTAAACCTTCGTCTTCATGGAGTTGAATCACCGTCCCAAATGAGTTAAACCATCGTCTTCAAGGAGTTGAATCATCGTCTTCATGGAGTTAAACCATGTCTTCAAGGAGTTAAACCATAGTCCCCAATGAGTTAAACCTTCGTCTTCAAGGAGTTAAATCATCATCTTCAAGGAGTTAAACCATCGTCTTCAAGGAGTTAAACCAACGTCCCCAATGAGTTAAACCTTCGTCTTTAAGGAGTTAAATCATCGTCTTCAAGGAGTTAAACCGTCGTCTTCAAGGAGTTAAACCTCGATCTTATTACTCATGCTCTTCAAGCATCATCTTACCATCTATGACAGTGGATGAAGTCGTTAAAGAGTATTTCCTACTGCCGTCTTGTTGTTGGACTATTGGAGCTCTGAAGGGCACCTTGAGACCCAGGTGTCCCTGGAACATGGCGGGCCGTCGGCCAGGCAGCAGCGAAGAAAACGTAAGTAAGAACTTGGGAATCCCACTGCCAGGTTAAGAATTTTCCTAGAATGAGGACCGTCTTGCAGGTAGCCAGAGTCAAGAACTGCGCCTTCAAGAGCACTATAGTGATCAAGTAATGATTAATAACCTTCGCTGATTTCATCTGATGTTTAAACACCTTAATGGCTAACCTAACCTAACCTAACCTAACCTAATCCCCTATTGAGTACTCGGTTCCCAAACTTCAGAGATCGCCCATAAAGGTTCTGTTCAGACACTTTGATAATTAAAAACAAAAATACGTCTTCACTTATGATCAAACTTTCAAGTATAAAATTCTTAACAACATAAAGGATAATACTATATGTACTCGCTCTAAAATGTATCTCTATGATTTTATGCGAGACAATATGACACAACGGACGAGGGATTTTGACAACCCCACCAAGACAACAGGAATCGTAGTGTTCATTTAGAAAATCATCGAACTCCTCCGTGAAGATAATTATTGGAGTGAGTACAAGAGAGATTAATTATTTACATAAACAGATGAGCTGTGGGAGATCGTCTGTTTCATGATTCATCTCGGGGGATATACCCAGGCTTAATGTGGGATATACCCGAACACGATCATGCTTTTATGTTGTTCTGTCAAAGATAACATCACATTCAGTGTTTTGTTTGTCTGTTATTTAGGACATCCTGGTTTTCAAAAGGTTATATTAAAGACTTCCTGGAGGCGTCAGTTAAATGCGCTTCATAAAAAGTTAACAGCAAAACTGAGTGGAGTAACTGTCTGGAAAAAAGAATATGGTTGGATCTGTTCGTGACATGTTTGTCCTCGGCTCCAAGAGACGCAAAAGCCACAACAGCTCCACCACCACCAGTTCAAAAGCCGGTGTGTGTGTGTGTGTGTGGTTGACGGATTAAAACACACACACACACACACACACACACACACACACACACACACACACACACACACGGTATATTCATATTGACCAAAACTAAATGTTATTATATACCGGAAATTCCTCTTTAGTCATCACCGTCTCCACTAAGACAACCCTTGATGACCTTGTGATGGCTTCTTTGATTACCTCCTCATGATGACGTGCCTATTTGTCTACCTATCTGCGGGCACGTCTACTTGTCTGCTGGGAGGCGAATCTTGTAAATAAGTATGAAAATAATGATGTGAATGATGTTTTAAAAAATAGCTTCCATCTTGACCGATAATATGAATTTCCAGATAAATTATTACCATGTTGAACATAAATCAGACTTTATCGATAATTCAGAGGCATTTAGGCCTATATAATATTAATCGTTATTTGTACTGCCGTAATCATAGTTTTAGTTCAAAGCTTCAGTTTAGTATTTTAGTTACTGTAATGATTAGGGTTTCAATATTTCATCATAATTTGGGAAAGAATCCTTGAAAATCCACCTTCCATTCCCTTCTCCCCTTTCCCCCATGTTGTTGTGGTAAAAGAATAGATGTGAAAGATAACAGGCGAAGAAACTACGAAGAAAATATCCAGTTAAGAATACTTCACTGGGGAGCAAAGTACTATAATGAACACTTGGGTATATGGGTGTAAGTTAATACTGTATATAATGTACACTTATGCTTATATAATGTACACTCAGGATAGATATCTTTTTTTTTTAGTGTAATTCCCTTTTGGTTAGCTGCTTTAAGTGATCTTGGTTCATGCTTAGTGATTTTGACGCTATATGACCTTGGTGAATCTTCTTTGTTCCAGGAAGGTAAGCTACCGCCTTGCCGTGAAGACTGGGAAGGTATTGGTTACCTTGTGTTTCAATAGCTTTTTGGGGAACCCTCGATTGCTGGTGTGTGTGTGGGGGGGGGGGGGGGGGGTTCAGCCCACAAAGCTTAAGCCGGTCCCAAGATTGGGTGAATGAACTCCTTGGTGGTTTGCTGCCTCTACAGGATGTTCCTCCGCCTTCTGCACCCACAGAAGGTCATGATCAACATTAATATTTATAACAACACTTATCAATAAAGTGTACAATGATCTCTTTCTTCATCACACTCATCGTCATTATCTCATCACTATCATTACACTCATCATATTCATTTCTTCATCATTATCATCACACTCATCATCACTATCATCATCATACCTTGGGAGGAGGAGGAGGAGGCGGTCAGCAACACTACCAGGTAAGAGTGATCAATAATAAACACCTGAGCTGATGAAAGAGCGCCAAGGTCACCTCACCTATCCCAGGTTGACCAGATCTCTTTCAAAACCTTAACAGGTACAAGACATTCAGGTGTGTTGGGAGGAGATGTACACATATTTCTCTTTACCCACACACACACACACACACACACACACACACACACACACACACACACACACACACACACACACACGTACGAAGTTAAGCATGCAAGCAGACACACATACACACAACAAAGCCTCTCCGCAGAAAAATATAACATTTCTTGGTAAGGCGTGTCAAAGGTCACCACCACAAATGAACGTTAGATAACTGTAAGACGCAGAACAAGTTAAATGTCCTTAGCAACACTTCTTTGTACTGTGTCTCATGAGGGGGTTCATAACATACACTCATGCGGTATTACGGTATCGCTTCATGTCGTACAACCTTGGTACTCAACGAGCTAATTCATTGTGTTCATAGGGGTGGCTCTCGTACTCAAAGGGTTAAGTGATCGTACTCAAGAGGTTTAAATTATCTTACTCGGGGACATATCGCATGTTCAAATCTCTATGGACGTGTAAGACATCTACTTTGTGTTGTTTAGATTCCCAAAAGTTTAAACAGTCATCTACTTGTGATCTGACTGTGTGTGTGTGTGTAAAGAAGATTTAAAGTGTGTCTACGAGCATAATAATCAACCCCTGAACTTATACTACCCTTACAATGTTAAACAAAGCATCACCCTGAGTGCTGTACCCAGAGACAAACACTTTCACGAGCCTTTAGTTTTTTATAGGAAAATATTTTACAAAGGACCGTTTAGGAACTCGCCACGGGCATGTACAGTAGGAGAAAACTGGTAGGTAGATGGTGAAGGTGAGGCAACAGATCCTGGTATGTGTGGGAGGACTCAAACAAATAAACCGACCTATGATCCCACGCCAACAAATCGTTACTCGGGGACGTAGGAACCTGGTAATTTACAGAAACACTGGATACTTAATACTTAATGATCATGAACTTAGGTAATCTGACCTGCCCCCTCCCTCCTCGATCACCCGAACACAAATTATGTCCGACTGTGTAAGAGTAGAGAGTGGATGAGACGGATGAGAGATGGTGTAGTGGTGGAGAGACGGGGTAGTAGAGGGTGAACACAAGGGAAGAGGAGTTGAGTAAAATGAGACAGAATAATAAAGCTGGCCCTTACCTTGCCTGGACAACCAAGGTTAGTAAGGTGAATTTTCCTCGCAACTCAAAATATAAGACTGTACTTAACTTGTTGACTTAAATGAAAAGAATATAAGTCTCACAGGTGTGACGGCCCGCTGGGGATAGAGTGGATACAACATACTGTATAATAAGCTTTCGCACAAAATCTACCATGTAATCCAGTTGCCACTGAAGATGTCTTGAATAAAGACGAAAGCTAAGGTGCTCCGTTGTTTCCCTTTTCCCGTGTGATTTGACCAAGATATATATATATATATATATATATATATATATATAATATATATATATATATATATATATATATATATATATATATATATATATATATATATATATATATATAAATCACTGTGGGTGTGATCAGGTATATGCTGATAACCATGGAAAGAAGAGCTTGTGTTTTCTTATGTGGTTATATATATATATATATATATATATATATATATATATATATATATATATATATATATATATATTGTATATATATATATTTTTTTTCTTGGCACCATCTACACTCTGAAATTATTTTATTTTATTTCCACAAATGTATTATAGCAACATTATACAGATAAGGTTCACAAACATTATTGTTCATACATTTTACACTTACTGTACAATTAAATGTTCGTCTTTCTAACTTTGGCTATGCTAAATTTTCAGATAATACTTTCAGTGTCCAAGGAGTTCAACAGCTCATATTTAGTCGAAAATAGCTCAACTTGTTCAGTCTGTCTCAGCAGATAGAGTTTCTCAAGTAATTTTTGATTCGTTTCAGTTTTGAGCGTGACCTTTCACCTGCACACTTTGTGCACAGCGCAAAGATATATTTTGAATAAATTGTTCACATTGACGAAGGGGTCTACCATAGGCTCAATAAAAATGAACATGAACAGCTCTTGGTTATGATCCTTGTCAGATTCATCAAGGCAAATATCTGGATCTGGAAGGAGTCCAGACAGCTGAACCAGCTCATCACTGAGTGACTCTTCAACGACTTCAGGATGAGCTTCCACCAAATTGGTTGCTGCTTTGCTTATACCAACATTTGACAGATTAGCTAAATCTGATAAAAACAAACTTGTTGTACAGCTCTTCATAAGCCTGTGACCTCCTTTGAAGAGCACTGACAAGGTTATCCACAATGAGGGAGAATTTTTGCCTGAATTTCTCCCTCAATGATCTGGGATTACTTTCTGATGTTCCATCTGCAAATCTTTGTCGCCTCATCCTCTGTCAATTCGGATATATCCGAATTTTTCAGTCCATTATCATGATATAATCAGCTAGCTAGGCTTTTGCTGTCAGATATTTTAAAAATTCTTGTCAACTTGGAACAGTTTCACACCAAGTACTGTACCAAGTTGTCTTTCTTTTCTTCAGGTACACACCCCGCACACTATCATCGATAATGACACTTAAATTGAATAAAAGATTCAGTGTTCATTTACATTTCAATATTATATATTTGGGGCCCGGGGCCCAGGGCACTGGACGAATCTTGTGACGATGACACAGCACAAGATGCCTATCTCGGCAGGTATGTGGATTCTGAAGGCCCGCAAGAGAAGTTCATTGACTTGCCCCCCACCGCCCACCAATCAAACGAGGGTGAAGATATTTTTCCAACAATTATCACTAGTTTGACAACAAAGGAATACATATCAGCCACATTATTCATGTTGCGATTGATGCTACGCCGAGTATGATAGGGACATACAGGGGTTTTGTTTCTCTATTAAAAGACAAAAAAAAAGATGGATCATGATGTGATATCATTTCACTGCATCATTCATCAAGAGGTACTGTGTGTGCACAGTCGTTTACACCAGAGTTCACACAAGTGATGACCTTAGTAGTGAAAATTGTCAACAAAATAATGGCAAAAGGCTTAAACCAGCGACAGTTTCGCTTACTACTGGAAGAGGTTGGTGGTCAGTGTTGAGACCTTCTCCTTCACAACAAAGTCTGGTGGCTTACTGAGGGTCGGATGATTGAACGTTTTGCAGCTATACAGTATATGGAGGTAGAAGAGTTTTACACTGCGGCTGCAGAAGCTCTGTTTTTTCTCGGTTTCCAAGATTTTGGCTCTTCTTGGATTGTGGGTTGCCGAACCCTGGCCTAACCTACCCAAACCTATGTTGACCTGACCTGACCTAACCAAAACTGTTAACTTAACTTAAACAAGCTTGTGTTAGCCCAACTTAACCAAAACTATGTAGATCTAACCTAACCTTACTAAACCGATCTTAGTCACCATACGAGACTGATTCTGAAGCACAATATTCGTCTTGAATCAATAAAATTAAGTAATTTTGTCCAGTAATTTTTTCTATGTGAACTTATCTAGTTAATTAAGGGTCTCAGAATAATCTTTCCCTTTATTTGTGATTAAAAAATAAATAAATCTCAAAGGCAAGAACCTCAGTACAAAATACGTGCCAAGTTGGAATTTATCTCAAGTCAAGCAGTTAGGAGCGTTCTTAAGACTACGCTTTCGAGGAATGTTACACACACGAACCTTTCTGAAACTGAACTCTGGAGGCAAGGAACCACAACTGGTGTTACCGGGGCGAAAATTTGCCCAGTTGTAACGCGCTCACCCTCCACCATTCTGGTTTCACCCCCCACCCCCCCAACCCCCATCACTCTGGGTATATATACTGTGCAACTCCATCCAGCATCACACACCTCTACAAACCTTTAGCCGGCTACAACAAACCAAGTCTCGCTCCTCAACATGAAGCTGGTAAGTCTGGTGAAACGCCCTGATATTATTCTAACATAAGCGAGCTTTTAGTTAGTCGAGACGTCCACTTAACCTGTCTATTATTTTGACCAAACTTTCCTAAACTACTGTTTTAGGAACTGTGAAGGGTGTGTGTTACTGTCACCTGTCAACAACTGTTGCATTAACTTGAGAATCTAAATAACATCAAAAACTTTTCCAGAACGGCTTCATAAATGTTAAATTATTAATAATGTTAACCTTTCGATAAAAGTTATCTTATAAGTAAAAATAATAATATACAGTGAGTATTGACCAAGTTAAGTGATCGCAGTAGAAACTTTTATTATTTAAGTATAAGTTATCTTTGTGTGTTTGATGATATGACTGATAATAAAACTGTTGTTGTTTGGTGTTGACTGATTCAACTGTCAGGGTTATTAAGTACGGGTCACAATTCTTAGTTTCTGTACTACACCCACTACACCTTCCACCCACACCATACCAACTACACCTCACCCACACCACACCCACTACAACATCCTCCCACACCACACCCACTACACCTTCCCATACATATCCACTACACCTCACCCACACCACACCCACTACACACCTCCCACACCACACCCACTACACCTTCCACCCACCCACCTACATATCCACTACACCTTTCACCCACACCACACCCACTACACACTCCTCCCACACCACACCCACTACACACTCCTCCCACACCACACCCACTACAACATCCTCCCACACCACACCCACTACACACTCCTCCCACACCACATTATACCTCTCATGATATTTTATGTCGCGTACGTTCAACAGCCTGTACACTCCCAGTACCTGGCAAAGGTATGTAACAAAGAACTGTAAGACAACAGGACCTACAGTATTTACACGCTCACATGTAAGCAATTAAATAAAATTATAATAATCGCATGTTACAGACGCTGCTGCTGGTGGCCCTGTGTGCCCTGCTGGGTGTGGCTCTGGCACTGCCCTCACCCTACGCCCTACCTGACGCGGATCCTTCACGTCGACATGGTCAATACAACCAGGGATATAGCCACTACCGCTACCCTACCATCACCCACACACATCACGATGACCACACCCACTACACCAGATACTTCCCTGGCGGCCACCACGACCACTTCACCACATACGGTGGTCACCATCACCACTAGTACCATAACGGGTACTATCATCACTAGCACCATCACGCGTCATGGTGCTGGTGACTGACTGTCATCGTCAGAGTACCATGATGGTCAACTCCACCTGGATTACGGCTGCAGACTTACAACAACTGGCTCACGGTTCAACATGGTCATGTTAAGACACTTTTGTTTATATAGTTCACGTGTGGGTGAGTGTGTGGTGGTCGCCGGGCAGCAAGGCGACCTACTCCAGTACTGAGTCTCGGGTCTTCAACACCCAAGTCAACTTTGTGTCCTTCTCTTACCAGCCACTACTGCTGCCACCATCTTCACCTGTTCCATCAGAGCTGACCCACCTCACACACCTTTCCACCCTGGTATATTGTTTTCTATCTTGGCTATAATAGATATTCTTGTTTGTTATCATTTATCTACCAAGTTTGAAGGTACACAGTCACATGTATAGTCATACTATGAACTGTACTGTGTAGCCACATGTGGCTCATGGCAGTATATATGTATGGTGAGTTATTGTAAGAGTGACAGTTAAATAAACACGACCACAATATCACTTGTATCTCCATTACTCATATCCAGGGCCGGATTATCAAGGGGGCATAGTGGGCACAGTGCTCAGGGTCTACGAAATGTGAGATATAATGGACAGTAATTTCACTGGTATAGCCTATTAACCTTTATGTTTCAACAGGGTAAATTAAAATAATCGGTAAATTTGACAAGAGAGAAATAGATTGCGGTCATAAAACTAAGTGATTATAAACGTTAATTTAGTATCTGTTTGGTTAGTGCTTAGACATCCTTTACCCCTGACCTGCCGGAAACTAACTATGATTGAGTCGAAGTCACAAGGGACTAAATAATCAAAAATTAATCAATGAACAACTTTTTTCTTAGACATACTGCAAAACAAATGTCGAGTTTTATCAATTCTCAAAATAATAAGCGACTAAACTCAACCTGCTATTATCAATTTATCAGTGATTATAATTTCATACAAAACACACTTTTCGGCTCTTGGCTTCGGCAGTCTTCAATAATGTCCTGAAAGTCCAACTTTTTAACATTATCTCTCTCTGTTGAGTAACGCCAGTGACGATAAGCGACTCTGGCCCATCGTTGATCTTAGACAGTTTTTAATTCTTTTAAGCTTGGAATATGACCTCCCACCGTCACAGCTGCCACCGAGTATTGACAACCTCCCACCTTCACTGCTGGCACCGAGTATTGACAAATATATTCAAAAAACTATGTTCACATTCGCAAAGCTGTTGACCAGCCCCTTGGCTACCTGAGTTTTCAATAGTTCTGCCACTGACCTGAAGTTGCGAAACATTTGTTTAAACAACAAAAACTCCTCAGTGAACACGGATTCAGTGTCATCCTTGTAGACATCCACCAACTCGCTTGCTTTGCTTGAAATCGTTTCCCTTGATAGTGAGGAATCAAGGAGGAAACCAAATCGTTCCTCGAGCGTCGCTTCCCCATTTCGACCAGCAACAAACTAACCTAAAATAATGGAAAATCTTACATCTCAGCGTCTCTGACTGTGTCAACTAACCCATTATTGCTGTTATCCATCGGTGGCACAAGCACGGTGTTGGCGTGATGCTTGGAGGTCGTGAGGGTTAAATAAGGCACATAATGGTTCATCAGGAAATTTAGGGCCTACGATAAAAAAGTGCCCAGGGCCTACAAAACCTTTAATCAGGCTCTGCTCATATTATCTTTATAAATTTTAAGATAAATATAGGATATAATATGCAGTGATTAATACTCATTTCATATAATACCAAAATTTTTATATAAAAATTTTCTCGTGCTGACGACAATGGTCTTCATTGAAGGTTATACCCTCTGAGTGACTTATATAAAAAACAATGGTAATATATCTTCTGAGTGGACAATAATATAAACAAACCACAACATGATGAGGAACCTAGACTTTAAACTAAATCTTTATTGGTACACAAGAAGGAAGTGGGGAGAGCACTGCACCCGGTCACATTAACTTTTTAACTGTAAAGTCAGGTACCCATTCACAGCTGGGTGAACGGAGAGGGCCTTTGGCGTGAACCAACGACCATGAGGAGAAAAGACGAGTGTTGTTTTCACTCGACTGCTATACAACATTACTGTAATGACGCACCTTGACTATCCAGACGAATTATTAACTTTAAGGACTAAACAATCTTCTGATAAAACACGACGTAGACGCCGACGCCGAAGCAGAAGCTGACGCAGTCACCAAGTGAGACGCGCACACACACACACACACACACACACACACACGACGCCAACACAGAGGTAAATGGCCAAGGAACATTATAATTTCTCTTATTATAACACGCGAGCAAAACACACCTAAAATAATATACACACACCAAGTATTTCAACAACGCAAACCAAAGTCACCTTTTTTCTACACGGGGGCTTCCCTTGGATCACCCAACCGCAAATTATGGCTGAGGGTGAGAGAGTAGAAGGTGAGAGACGGGTGATAGTAGTGAAGGGTGGATGAGAGACGGGTGAGGGTAGTGAAGGATGGATGAGAGACGGGTGAGGGTGGTAGAGTGAAGAGAAGGAGAGTAAGATGAGACAGAACAATAAAGTAGGTCAAGAAAGGAGAAGTGATAGGTATAGGGGAGAAGTGTAAGCTGACCCACACCTTGCCTGGACACCATTCCAGGGTATAGACTCACAAAGGTTAGTACGACGAATATTCCTCGTACCTAACATGTTGACTTAAATTAATGCTAAGTTAAAAGTATGTGAGTCTCAAAGTACAATAAAGTTAGGTACACAAATACAGCGCCAAAAATAACATTAATATTACACTAAGACTCTACCTTAACTAGACATGTTCAGTTAACACCAGGTAGGAGACTAATTCAATGCAGCAGATCTTGGAAGCATTTCTGTTCGTTGTTGTTATTATTATTATTATTATTATTATTATTATTATTATTATTATTATTATTATTATTATTATTATTATTATTATTATTATTATTATTATTATTACCTTATAGATCCACTAAGTATAACCGTTACTTAAGTTCTATAAAGTTATTAAAATAAATCCCAATTACATGATCTCTCTCTCTCTCTCTCTCTCTCTCTCTCTCTCTCTCTCTCTCTCTCTCTCTCTCATCAGGAGAACAAGGATGAAGACACTAACTCAGGACTGGACAACAAGTCTCATTCATAATACCTGTTATTTTCGAGTCTTGGAAAAAAAATCTAAACTAACCCGAAGTGACAATCTTGCCTAACTTAAAATAATTCAGTTTAATGTAAGTTAAGTTAATCTAAACTTATACTGGATTACCCAAACATAGTCCAACATAACCCTTCAACTTAACATTAAACATGGATTAACCTAACTGTATTTAGTTTAACCTAACATGGCCTAACCTGGCCTAATCTAGCCTAATGTAGCCCATCTTAACTTAACCTAACTAATTTTCACTTAACCTAATAGATTTTGACCTAACCTATCCCAGCATAGAATAATCTAACTCAATCTATCGTAACCAAGCCTACGTAAACTTAACCTAACCAAGTTTATGTTGAACCTAACCTAACCTAACCTAATCTAATCTAACCTAATCTTAGTTACCATACGAGACCGATTCTGAAGCACAACGAAATTTCAGTCATTTTATCCAATATTTTTTCTTCTATGTGAGCGTATGTATTTCATTAACACTCTCGTGATTAAGAGAACGAACATCAAGACAAGAACCTCACTACAAACACATACCAAGTCGTAATTTTATTTTTCTGGGTTGCCTTTAAAGTCAACCAGTTAGGAGGGTTCATAAGTCTTGACCTTGGAGGAATGTTTCACGCACGAACCTTTCTGAAACTGAACGCAGGAGGAAATGAAATAGAAAGGGTGTTACTGGGATCCAAATTTCCCAAGCTGTGACATTCGTAGCCTTCAATTTCCCCCAGGCCCCCGCCCCCATCACTCTGGGTATATATACTGTGCAACTCCATCCAGCATCACACACCTCTACAAACCTTTAGCCAGCTCCAACAAACCAAGTCTCGCTCCTCAACATGAAGCTGGTAAGTCTGGTGAAACGCCCTGATATTATTCTAACATAAGCGAGCTTTTAGTTAGTCGAGACGTCCACTTAACCTGTCTATTATTTTGACCAAACTTTCCTAAACTACTGTTTTAGGAACTGTGAAGGGTGTGTGTTACTGTCACCTGTCAACAACTGTTGCATTAACTTGAGAATCTAAATAACATCAAAAACTTTTCCAGAACGGCTTCATAAATGTTAAATTATTAATAATGTTAACCTTTAGATAAAAGTTATCTTATAAGTAAAAATAATAATATACAGTGAGTATTGACCAAGTTAAGTGATCGCAGTAGAAACTTTTATTATTTAAGTATAAGTTATCTTTGTGTGTTTGATGATATGACTGATAATAAAACTGTTGTTGTTTGGTGTTGACTGATTCAACTGTCAGGGTTATTAAGTACGGGTCACAAGTCTTAGTTTCTGTGCTACACCCACTACACCTTCCACCCACACCATACCCACTACACCTTTCACCCACACCACACCCACTACAACATCCTCCCACACCACACCCACTACACCTTCCACCCACTACACCTTCCACCCACTACACCTTGTACCCACATCATATCCACAACACCCTCCTCCCATACCATACCCACTACATCGTCCACCCACACCACACCACTACATTTCCCCATGGCTGAACCAAATTAGATCTGTACGAAATAATTTCGGGATGTCAAGCACATAACATAAGAATGGAGGAAACTGCAGCAGGTCTGTTGGCCCATTCTTGACAATCCCATTTACACCCAACCCCCATCGCTCATATATCCATGAAACCACTGTTACTGACAGTCTCATCATCACTGACTCTCTATCTTCACTACTTGCCCTTGGCACCCTCGACTCAGGTTGTCACGCTCTTGTCTCTGAAGCCAGACACAAATATGCGTGCCTTGTTGACCGGGGTGTCAAGGTCAAGCTGTTGTGGATCCCCTCTCACATAGGCCTCATAAAACACGACAGAGTTGATGCCCTCGCCAAACTCGCGTCTAACAAAGACACCGTTAAATACAATTTGGGTCTGTCAAAAAGAACCCTTAAAACTGTAATTAGGAAAGAACTTATTGATGAGTTTGACGCAAGTAGACAAGTGCAAACAGGCACTAGTCGATCCATAGGTTACCATGATGAGATGTATCAAGTGAAACATGTATATGGAGCAAGTAACAAGATCACTAGTACAAGATGTTGTAACCGCTAGATTAAGGTTAGGATATAAGTACCTTTGGCAGTATGTTCCTCAAGCAGATGTAAACAAAACTAAATGTAAAGTGTGTGGCCATACATATGGCCACACACTTGAACACTACGTCCTCGACTGTGTGAAGATAGAACCTTTTAGGGACAGGTCCAAGCACACTGTGTGTGAAATGGCACAACACTTCATCTCTAATGGCAAGATAGCCGACACATTAAGATTGTATCCACTTTTTTGCACTTAGTAACTATATCAATTCTCATGTACAGAACCAAATACGCAATGTGCTTGAATACCTCTCACGTGAATGTGAATAACAAAGTGTGAGGCCAGACATACTGCCTCACACGCCTGTACTCACGCATTTGTGAATAAGTTACCCTTTATGTATAGAACTACACAAATAATGTAAATGAAATACTGTGTAACATTCAGTGCCATAATATCCTGACAACGGGGGTTAATTATTATGACCCTTTGTAAACCCTACTCTGTAATCCTTTTGCGATACCGCTCACAGGATGAGTGTGGGGTGCACAATAAAGTAGCCGCTGTAAGCGGCAAAATCAAAAAATCAAATCATATATCCACCCAACTTATGTTTGAAGCTATCCGGCGTATTCGAGTTAATGATGATGTTTGGTAACTTGTTCCACTCATTCACTACTCTACTTCCAAACAAATGTTTATCAATGTTACACATAAATCTAAATTTGTCTAATTTAAAACCATTGTTATGAGTTCGCTCCTGGTTGGATTGTTCAATTCAATTTCACTTTTAATATTTATTCCTTGACAGAGGTTTGGATAGTTTGAGTACCTTTGTTATGTTTACCTTTGTTTAGCCCTGACTTCCAATAATACACCTGGATCATATCGCCCCTCACTCTATGTCTCTCGAGGGAGCGCAATTTAAGATGCTTCAACCTGTCTCTGTAATCAAGGTTGCTAATGCCCGGGATTAGTCTTGCCATTCTCCTCTGAATTCTTTCTATGGCTTCTTTATCTATTCTGTAGTACAGTGACCAGAACTGAACTGCGTAATCCAAGTGAGGTCTCACAGGCGCAAGATATAGTTTTAGGATGACTTCGCTAGTCTTATAACTAACACTCTTTTGTATGAACTCAAGAACTTTGTTAGCCTTGTTTCGAACAAATACACATTGTTGACTTGGTTTAAGATTACTACTTATCATTACACCTAAATCTTTCTCATAGTCGGATTTCTCTATAACAACGTTGTTCATCTGATATCTGGTTTCTCTGTTTACATCTCATAGACTAAGTACTTTACATTTGTCCACATTTAATTTCATCTGCCATTTTTCAGACCATGCGATTTTTTTTTATCTTCCTGTAGTTTTGCGTCAGATTTAATTACACGCCCAATTTTAGTGTCATCAGCAAATTTACTTACCGGTATGTTGCTTTCTACGCCTATATCTATGTCATTTATGTATATAATAAATAGTAATGGTACAAATCATGATCCTTGGGGTACTCCACTAGTGACGTTGCTCCAATCGGATTTAGTGCCGTTAATTCAAAACCAACATAATTCAATATGGCTAAAAAATTCTGTTAAAAAGAAATAAAAGGTCAGTGGATTACTCAGTGGTATACTAACCCGAATAGCACATCATTATATAGTAGTTATGTCGCTTAAACTATTTTAGAATAATATTTAATAAGGTCATAAAAAATCTCAGACCTATCTTATGTAAATTTTGATTCTAACTAAACAAGATTACCCATTGTAACTTGTAGAGATAAAAATTTTCTAAGAGAAGAGAGAATTTGTATTACATGTGGTTATAACGTTATTGGAGATGAATATCATGTTATTCTAGAGAGTAATAATCATCAAGGAAAAGAGTTGTAAGAGGAGCGAAGATTTTTACAGATGTCATCCAAGTTGTTTGCTTCTAAATCAATACAAGAGAGTAATGTAAGAACCATCCGCAACCTGTCTGTGGTTGTCAAGTTTGTAATGGATAAGTTTAGGTAGATAATGAGATATAGTGCTGTAGTTTAATCCAATATATATGAGGAATTGCTCAAATAATTATGACCTTTTTTTATAAATTTTTCTGTCTGTCTGTCTGTGTTTCCTCACGACACCCATTACATATTCCTACCACACCACACTCACACACCTTCCACCCACACCACACCCGGTACACCCTCATCCCACATCACACCCGATACACCCCCATCCCACACCTCACCACTACACCTCTCATGTAAATTTCCAAGAATTGTAGTTATTGTGTTAAAGACCCTCTTACCTGTCGAAGGTTGAACTTTTTTATGCTGCCTCCAGTACAGTCAACAGCTTGTACACTCCCTCCCAGTACCTGGCAACAGTGTGGAAAAAAAATATAAGACAACAGGACCTACAGTATTTACAAGCTCACAAGTAACAAAGCATTCAAAATAAGTAAAATTATAATACTTGTATGTTACTGAACCACTGGCGAAGATTATCCTGTGGAAATTCTTCTAACACACGTGTGTATGTTGTTTCAGACGCTGCTGCTGGTGGCTCTGTGTGCCCTTATGGGTATGGCTCTGGCACTGCCCTCACCCTACGCCCTGCCTGATCCTGACGCGGATCCTTTCCGTACATCTTTTCCTATTACCACCCACAAACATCACGGTGACCACACCCACCTCACCAGATACTTCCCTGGCGGCCACCACGACCACTTCACCACATACCGTGGTCACCATCACCACTAGTACCATCACGCGTCATGGTGCTGGTGACTGACTGTCATCGTCAGAGTACCATGATGGTCAACTCCACCTGGATTACGGCTGCAGACTTACAACAACTGGCTCACGGCTCAACATGGTCATGTTAAGACACTTTTGTTTATATAGTTCACGTGTGGGTGAGTGTGTGGTGGTCGCCGGGCAGCGTGGCGACCTACTCCAGTACTGAGTCTCGGGTCTTCAACACCCAAGTCAACTTTGTGTCCTTCTCTTACCAGCCACTACTGCTGCCACCATCTTCACCTGTTCCATCAGGGCTGACCCACCTCACACACCTTTCCACCCTGGTATATTGTTTTCTATCTTGGCTATAATAGATATTCTTGTTTGTTATCATTTATCTACCAAGTTTGAAGGTACACAGTCACATGTATAGTCATACTATGAACTGTACAGTGAAGCCACATGTGTCTAATGGCAGTATATATGTATGGTGAGTTATTGTAAGAGTGAGAGTTAAATAAACACGACCACAATATCACTGTATCTCTGACTTTTGATTCTAACCTTGTCGTCACCTTAACCTTCTCCACTACTGATATTTTTCTAGATAAATTATGTTGGAAATAATACCCATTGGTTATTTATAATTTGAGACTACATCAAGATAATTTCCTAACAGTTTTTCTCGTGTTTGCGATAATATTATTTACTGAAGAATGTGCTCTCTGGGTGGCCACAGCAATATTAACATAAGTAATATACCTTTTGAATGGCTTAAAATAAAAACAACGGTAATATGCCCTCTGAGTTCCCTAAAATAAAAACGAAACGTAACTTGATTGAAAAAGTACAATATGAACTAAACCTTCATTGGTACACAAGAAGAAAGTGTGGCCGGCATTGCACTCGACCACATTCATTTTTCAGTTGCAAAACCTGGTACCCATCACAGATTACAGATTGCCCGGAGGAGGCTAGTTTATTGGGCACCCCCTTACATCCTGTGCAAGGTGAAGAGCAGAAGCGTTTACAGTGCCCAACTGGAAAACATGCGGAGTTCATGCTTGCCTTTATGACTCATGCATTAAGGGCGTGGAAGCCTGAAGGGTCATGGGTTTTGTCAGCAAGTTACATAAAGTGACAGTATGATGAGTGTGTGGGGGAGGGGGAATTCCCGGTACATTTCATCTGTTTATAGCAAAGCGTGGCAGGTCCCTAATAATGTCAAGTGCCAGGCCTGTGACTAGGAGGAGGGATATCTGGTCAGGGAGGGAAGAGGTGTTGGTAACGGCTGGGGACCTGTAGGAGGAGGTCATAGGGCAAGTGAGGATGTAGTGACGGAGGGTGTGAGAGTCGGGTTGGCCACAAAGTTTACAAACAGTGCGGTGAGGCTCAGGGTTGCCAATGTACTCCCATAGGTACCTGTACCCTAGGCGCAGTCTCATGTATATAATCTGTTGAGATCGAGTCAGAGATTGATACTCTTTGTAGTGGCGGTTGGAGTCACCGGTTACAGCGTCAGTGGCATAGTGTGACGCTGCCCCGTTGTTTCAGGTGTGTCCATTTTACGTCGAATGCTTCTCGTTGTGTGGCGTGTATGCGAGATTTGAGATGATTCAGGGAGAGGGCGAGGGTGGCTTCAATATCTTCTTCTTGTGTCGCTTCTTTGGCAAGTCGATCAACAGTGTCACAGGCAGTTATTCCTATATGTGACGGGATCCAAATAAACTTGACACGGATGTCATCAGTTTGTTCTAGATTGGCGACGGCGGCTAGGGTGTGTTGGGCGGCAGGGGAGGAGGGGGAGGGGGGGTAATTTGAGCCTCGCTAGCGCAGAAGTGCTGTCACTGATTATCAGGAGGTTCCGGCGTTCAGTGCGAGCATAGGTCGCCCCCTCATGAATGCCCGTGTTCGCCATGTAGTGAGCGGTGCAGTGAGCAGTACTCTTTCCGGGGCGGAAACCATAGAGGTCAGGGTGCAGGTTGGGCTTCAATTTTCCAGTGGAGGCGGTGGCGTATCATGCGCTCCATCATCTTTGAGAAGTAGGAGATGAGGGAGATTGGACGATATTCATCTTGTCTGCCTGGTTTAGGGACTGGGATGGTGGTGGCAGTCTTCCATAAGTGAGGCAGCTGACCAGTATCATAAGAGAGGTTAAATAGACAGAGGAGGGGGTTACCAGGGGTGGCAATAAGAGCATTTAGCACTTCATATGTGACGCCGTCATCGCCAGGGGCGGTGGACCGGCCGCGCTTAACAGCATTGAACTCGGGGTGCCTTGGACGTGAACCAACGACCTTAAGGACAAGAGACGATTGTTGTATCTACTCGGCTGCCACATCGCATCACTGATAAAAGACACCTTAAATCCCCAGACACAGTAATAGCTTTATGGACTGACATATCTTCAGACAAGACAACACGACACAACGAGACAAACGTAGATAAACGGCGCCAATACAGACGTTAGACGTAAAAGCTGGAGCATTAAAATATTTATTCTTTCAACACGCGAACAAAAAACTCCTAAAATTATACACAAACACCGAATATTTTAAGAATATTAAACTGTGGAAAACTTTGTTTTTTATACACGGGGGTTTCCCCTTGGACCACTCGACCGCAAATTATGGCTGGTGGTGAGAGAGTAGAAGGGAGAGACGGGTGAGGGTAGTGAAGGATGGATGAGAGACAGGTGAGGGTAGTGAAGGATGGATGAGAGACGGGTGAGGGTAGTGAAGGATGGATGAGAGACGGGTGAGGGTAGTGAAGGATGGATGAGAGACGGGTGAGGGTAGTGAAGGATGGATGAGAGACGGGTGAGGGTAGTGAAGGATGGATGAGAGACGGGTGAGGGTAGTGAAGGATGGATGAGAGACGGGTGAGGGTAGTGAAGGATGGATGAGAGACGGGTGAGGGTAGTGAAGGATGGATGAGAGACGGGTGAGGGTAGTGAAGGGATGGATGAGAGACGGGTGAGGGTAGTGAAGGATGGATGAGAGACGGGTGAGGTAGTGAAGGATGGATGAGAGACGGGTGAGGGTGAAGAATGGATGAGAGACGGGTGAGGTAGGAGGTTGGATGAGACACGGTGAGGGTAGTGAAGGATGGATGAGAGACGGGTGAGGTAGTAGTGAGGATGGATGGATGGATGAGACGGGTGAGGGTAGTGAAGGATGGATGAGAAACGGGTGAGGGTAGTGAAGGATGGATGAGAGACGGGTGAGGGTAGTGAAGGATGGATGAGAGACGGGTGAGGGTAGTGAAGAACGGATGAGAGACGGGAGGTAGTGAAGGATGGATGAGAGACAGGTGAGGGAAGTGAAGGATGGATGAGAGACGGTGAGGGTAGTGAAGAACGGGTGAGGGTAGTGAAGGATGGATGAGAGACGGGTGAGGGTAGTGAAGGATGGATGAGAGACGGGTGAGGGTAGTGAACGGAGAGACGGATGAGAGACGGGTGAGGGTAGTGAAGGATGGATGAGAGACGGGTGAGGGTAGTGAAGGATGGATGAGAGACGGGTGAGGGTAGTGAAGGATGGATGAGAGACGGGTGAGGGTGGTAGAGTGAAGAGAAGGAGAGTAAGATGAGACAGAACAATAAAGTAGGTCAAGAAAGGAGAAGTGATAGGTATAGGGGAGAAGTGTAAGCTGACCCACACCTTGCCTGGACACCATTCCAGGGTATAGACTCACAAAGGTTAGTACGACGAATATTCCTCGTACCTCTTATATAAGTGTTTCAGCACCTGTAGTAAGTCTGTCATCCACAATGGCTCTTAATTTTGAGGACTTGCATAGCTAACCATATTTAACATAATTTTAACCTAAACTTATTTAATGTAACCTAACCTAACCTAACATAAACTAACCTAACCTAACCTAACCTAACCTAACCTAACCTAAACTAACCTCACCTAATCTAACTAGTGTTAAGTGAATGTATCTTGTTAATGATCTCTTTCGGTATAGTTTCGATACCTTTTCGTACATAGTTTATATTGTTCACCTTAAGCCAATCACTCAGAAACGTTCTTGCGTCATTAGTCACGAGATATATCCAATGTACGAATGTTTCTGAACCTGGCCCTTCGGCTCCTGAAGAAACGACGGGAAGCCTTCTTCACAACTGGCAACCCAAATATCCCTCCCACCCGTGTCCGTCTCTGCCCCGCGATCCAGCGTATATAAACCTTGCACACCTCCAGCAAGGATCACACTCCCCTGTCAACTTTTTACCCAGTTACAACTACTCAAGTCTCGCTACTCAACATGAAGCTGGTAAGTGTGGTGAAGTGCCCTTATATTACTTCTGAATATGTGAATTTAGAACAATTGTAGAGGTGTGCGCTTAACCTGGTCAGTTAAAAATTAGTTAACATTAGTGTGGTATTAAAGTTAAATTTAGCTAATCTTTCCACAATAGCTGTGATAAAGACGAAACTTGTAATAAATTTAACATAAGCTTTCCATTATAGCTATTCAAAGTGATTAATGACAATATATTTCACGAAGAGTCTCATAGTCAATTTTATATGGGTGAAAGTGTAAGTCTAGAGATAACCAGTCAACCATTTTAATGCCTCTTACGACTTTACTCTCTAGGAATATTCAACGTCGGAACCTTTGAGACAATGAGCCCAGTTAAGTGTCCTTAAGTGTAATGTGTACACAGTTGCACTTTTATTATTTAAGTATGAGTTATCTTTGTGTGTTTGATGATATGACTGATAATAAAACTGTTTTTTGTGTGTTGACTGATTCAACTGTCAGGGTTATTAAGTACGGGTCACAAGCCTTAGTTTCTGTACTACACCCACTACACCTTCCACCCACACCATACCCACTACACCTTCCACCCACACCATACCCACTACACCTTCTACCCACATCACACCCACTACACCTTCCTTTCACCCACACCACGTTCACTACACCCCCACCTACACCACACACAGTACCCCTTCCACCAACACTACACCTTCCATCCACATCACACCACACCCACTGCATCTTCCTTCCACCTACACCACACCCACTACACCTACTAAATACATATGTCACATACACTTATCCATCATCTCTTGGCGCAACAGTGAGAAACAGCAAGTGAGAGAACTATTACTGAGATGAGACACAACGAAGACTACAAGAAAATCAATTTGTAACATCCTTAGTATCCATGTTATTGGATTGTAGTGAAGATTATCCCCTGATAATAGTTGTTGTTTTGTCTTCTAACTTAACCTAACCTAACCACACTGGATGGATAAAAGGGGTCGACAAAGCTTAAAGAAAGGAGGCAATTATAAGAGGCAGTATAGGTAGTCAAGTGTAAGAAGTTATGTTAAGCTTCTCAGACAAAGAAAGATCCACACGTCCATAAACCATAAGCGGGTTGTCTATTATTTTCCAGAGTTTGGGAATTAGAATTAAAATATTATGAAGACTTAGGATGTATTCACCACAATAAGACCAAGAATTAAATATACAACTGTGAAATGTCTCGAGTTAATCAGAGTTAATAAATTACAAAACTCAAA